TCTCCCAAAAAACATCATAGTCTTCTACATAATCCATCCCCCATACAAAATGATATTCCCAACTCAGCTCCCACCAGCTCTCGGGAAACACAGTCCCCTCAGACTACTCTCGAAAATATTAATCGTACGAATACCAATTCTTTACCTATTAACGTGGCCAGCGATATTCCTGGTACAGTTCTTCTCTCTACTGCTGTTGTGGAGGTTCTTGACAGCCAAGGTTTTTACCAACCAGTCAGGATTCTTCTTGATAGCTGTAGTCAAAGTCACTTCATCTCAACCAAATGTTGTACTAAACTTGGTCTCTCTCGTCGTCGACTCTCTATCGATGTACGGGGCGTTGGAAAAATCAGCACTCATGCAACACAAGGAGTAACTTGTACCCTCAAACCAAGAAATAAATCTGAACCCAAATTCACTCTAGATTTGGTGGTTCTTCCTCAAATATGTTTCAATATTCCGGCAGTTTCTCTCTCAAAAGAACCCTTCTCTGTATTTTCTAAATTAGATCTCGCTGACCCCACCTTCAATGTGTCACAACCAATCGATATACTTCTAGGAGCTGACATTTTTGCCTGTGTGTTGAAAGGTTCTTCTCATCTACATGACTTAGATAATCCATCGGAAAATCCTATTGCCTTGGATACATCTTTTGGATGGATTATAATGGGTAAGGTCAACTCATCTCCTCCAACCTGCTCCTTCACGATATCCGCAGACTCTCACCTGGATGACTATCTCAAAAGATTCTGGGATTTGGAACAGGTCCCCTCAGCACCTGCGTTCACCCCCGATGAAATCCGCGCAGAGAAGTTGTACCAAACTTCTGTAGATCGTAATAACTCAGGAAGATTCATCGTTTCTTTGCCATTCAAAGATGATTTGCCAATATTTCCTGATTCTAGAGATATTGCCCTCAGGCGCTTTCTCTCTCTCGAAAGAAGGCTTTTGAAAGACCAGAACCTTTACAGTCAGTATTCTGATTTCATGAGGGAGTATCTTGACTCTAAGTTTATGGAACCACTCTATGATATTTCTCCGAATCCTTCGTCTTATTATATACCGCATCATTGCGTATTGAAACCTGACAGCTCTACTACCAAGCTGCGCGTGGTTTTTGACGCTTCCTCACGCTGCTCAAATAACGTGTCTCTCAACGACACACTCCTAGTTGGTCCCAAGCTACAACCAGATATTTGTTCTGTGTTGTCTAGATTTCGCCTTCATTCAATTTGCTTTACTGCCGACATAAAGAAAATGTATAATCAAATTCTGGTCACAGAATCACACCGAGATTTCCAGAGAATCCTCTGGAGATTTTCTCGTACTGACCCAATTGAAGATTTTCGCTTGAACACGGTGACTTTTGGTGTCAATAGTTCTCCCTATCTTGCTATTCGAACCATACAAGAACTTGCTGACAGGTATCGCAGTCAATATCCAAACGCCTGTAAAGCCCTCAAAAATGATGTTTTTGTTGACGATATTGTAACCGGATGTTCTTCTATTGCCGAAGCCACACAACTACAGACGGATTTAATTCTTGTACTCAAAAAGGCTGGTTTCGAACTCCGCAAATGGGCGAGCAATGAACCTCATTTGCTATCTCATCTTCCTCCAGAAATGTTAAAGGTTGATCCTCTCCAGTTAGATCTCGAGAATGTTTCTACTCTCAAAATTCTGGGATTGCAGTGGAATGCTAAGCATGATTTTTTCTCTTATCAAGTTAAACCTGTAGATAGACCATGTTCGAAACGAACAATACTTTCTGAATTGGCTAGAGTGTATGACCCTTTAGGCTTCCTCACACCGATAACTCTGCATATCAAAACTCTTCTACAAACCATGTGGACTGCTGGAATCGACTGGGATAGCCCTCCCCCCGATAGTATAATTGCTCAATGGAACGATTTAAAGAAAGAATTACCTCTTCTCTCTACTGTCCAGATACCACGACAGATAATTTCCCCAACTCATGAATCCATTGAAATCTGTGGCTTCTGCGATGCCTCTGAAAAGGGTTACGCTGCTGTAGTTTACTTACGAACGCAAGAACACTGTGAATTCATGACTCATCTCTTATATGCAAAATCCCGAGTAGCACCGCTCAAAACCATCTCTATTCCACGCCTCGAGCTTTGTGGAGCTCTCCTCTTATCTGGTCTCCTAACTTTCATTCAAGAGACATATAAAATGCAGCTAGAAATTTCTAGAATATCAGCTTTCACTGACTCCATGATAGTCCTCAAATGGTTGCGCAGTTCCCCTCACAAATATACCACTTTTGTATCGAACCGTGTCTCCCAAATTCAGGAAAGGGTTTCCCCCTCTGCATGGTGTCACGTTTCTTCGCAGGACAATCCCGCTGATCCAGCTTCCCGAGGGATTCTTCCCGGCGATCTTGTCAATAATTCCCAATGGTGGGCGGGGCCGCATTGGCTTCGACTACCACGCACTTCATGGCCTAGCAGCTCCAGTGATAGTGATCTGTCCAATATTCCCGATGAAGAAATACGTCAAAGTGTTCTGACGGTAACTGTTGAGGAAAATTCTATTATGTCCCTCTTAACTCGTTACTCATCTCTCTCAAAAATCCAACGTATAATTTGTTACCTCCGCAGGTTTATTTTCCTAAAAATTCGCACGCTAAAATTCTCTGAAATATCATGTCCTGAAAAATCAGGTCCTATTTCCATGTTCGAGATGGAAGAAGCTCTCAGAATTCTCGTAAAACTCACCCAGCAAAATGCATTTGCTCATGAAATATCTCAACTCAAACATCGAAAAAAACTCCCAAAATTCCTACGCAAACTGAATCCATTCATTGATGAAAAAGGAATTTTGAGAGTGGGTGGTCGACTAACATATTCCCATTTGTCTTTTGATCAGAAACATCCCGCACTCTTACCTAGCGATCACAGATTCACAGAGTTAATCATTGCTCATACTCATTCTCAGTTTCTCCATCCTGGACTTCAGACACTGCACTTCCTCATTGCTCAACGATATTGGATACTTGCTCCAAAAAGGACAATTCGGCGAGTACTAGCAAAATGTCTGAGATGTTTCAGACTCCATCCGAAATCTCCTCAGCCTCTGATGGGTAATCTTCCAGCCTCTCGTATATCCCAGGTCAAACCATTTTCTAAAGTAGGAATGGATTTCTGTGGGCCCTTCAAGATAATAACCTCTCGAATTCGCGGAGCTAAGGTGTTGAAATCTTACATATGTGTTTTTTGTTGCATGGCAACTAAAGCTCTCCACCTCGAACTCACTTCAGATTTGTCAACTGACACGTTTCTGGCAGCTCTTCGTCGACTTGTAGCTCGGCGAGGTCGTGTGACGGATTTGTTTAGTGACAATGGCACCAACCTGGTTGGGGCTTCTCGTGAACTCGAAAAACTCATTTTACAAGCTGTAGATCAGCAGGGTATCCGTTTTCACTTCATTCCTCCCACTAGTCCGAACTTTGGAGGTCTTTGGGAGGCTGGGGTGAAGTCAGTTAAGACCCATTTACTTCGTGTTGTTGGTGACCAAACGCTCACCTATGAAGAATTAAATACTACCATTGTACAAGTAGAAGCAATTTTGAACTCACGACCCTTGTGTGCTTTGAGTTCAGACCCTAACGATGACTCAGTGCTAACTCCGGGTCATTTTCTGACCCTGGAGCCCTTAAACTCAGTACCAGACCCTCCTCTAGGAAATCTCACACTAGGACGCTTATCTCGCTGGCAACTTGTCCAGCGACTCCAACAAGACTTCTGGAGTCGTTGGCACAAGGAATATCTCCACACTTTGATACAGAGAAGCAAATGGACCGAACCCTCGACGCCCATCGAATTGGGAACGATTGTTCTTTTGAAGGACGATTTCTCATCTCCTCTCAAATGGCCCCGTGGTCGAGTTACTCAACTCCACACCGGTGCCGATAATATAACTCGTGTCGTTACGGTTCGTACCGCAAAGGGATTTTTTAAACGACCAGTCACAAAGGTCTGCCCTTTGCCAAACTGTTAAATTCGGTTATTTTTTCTTTTCATTTATTTTAAGATAATAGAATATAAGATTAGTATTTAAGTATTCACTATATATAAACTCAAATTCTCATCCTTTTCTTAACTTTAAAAAAATGTTCCATTTTGGTGGGCGGTATGTTCAGGAATCATGTACTTTTGAATTATAAACCAATTTCATCACATACTCATTAACTGTCAATATATTTTACCCCGCGATATCTATGCAATGCAAGAGGTGATACGCCGCTGCTCGGAACCACCTGAGGTTCACAGATAGTACTGGATAGTACCACAAAAATGCGCAGGTGGAGCGCGAATTCGATATATTTTTAAGCAGTACTAAACGACTCTCGAGGAAGAAGTTTTTTCGCGACGCAAGTAAACCCGGTAAAGATTACCGTCTCGGTACCTATCCAATTTTCTCTTCAAAAAACGCATTCTCGTCGTCGTTATATGTGCCATATTCGTGTGTGCAATCCTCAATCCTAGCTAGGAGGAAGAAAGAAGTGAGCGCCAATAAGGGAACTCCTGCAGAAAAACTGAAACCAACCGGTAAGTCCCTCGTTGCATTGCCGATCATCAATTTTCATTTATTGAACCAACATAATTAATACAGTCCACTGCTCTCAAACTCGTACACCCACTATTTGTGAATTTTTCTCACCATTTAATATCAATGAATTGAAACATTTTTTCTTTCTCTTTTTTATATATCTGACCTGTGAAAGCACTCTAGGGTAATACTTTGCCAATAAATAGACTATACCGAAAAATTTAATTGTGTGAATACTGCCTGTAGATTAACTGAAGAGAAACACTTCTCCAGAAAACGAGAGAAATAAATTCAACTATGTGTTGAATTCCACTAATAGATGTTTCTATTTGTCCACATTGAAGTGATGTTCGAATTTTTTGTGTCATCCTCCATCTAGGGCTGTTCAAGAAAACGAACTCCTGAATTTTGAATGATTTCGTCACAACTCTCGCAACATTACTGTTCATTATAGGTACTTACTGCAAAATAATCGAAAATTTCATCGCATGTATCCAGCAACTCCTGAGCTACGGGTTCATCACTGCAGTACCTAACGTGTTTGTCGAAGTCTCTTTCTAGCCGTAGAAACGTCTTTCCAATCATCACAGGATTCTTCGCTTGATATTTCACACCTTCTATCAAAACTCTGTAATAAAATGAAAATATATATGGTCAAACTTGAAATGAAACCTACGAAAACAATATTCTTAAAAAAATGATATTATTAATATGGAATTTATATTTCGCTGGCATTTTCTATATGCAGTATCTCATGCCCTGCGGCATTGTACAGGGTGTGCCAAATTAGACAGTTTCAAAGGAAAAGTCCTATTCCCGTACTACATAGAAAAAATTGATGTTGGTGCCTGCATATCGATATATCTCCGTTTCAGAGTTACAAGTTGTTTTTCGAGAATATGACTTCGTTTTCATTAAAACATTCTCAATGCATTTTGTTTGTCATAAGGAAATTGATCCTCAGGCACTGGAATTAGTTACCATTTATCTAGTTTTAAAATGGAACTTTTTCTTCAAGAAGAACAAGTTATATTATAAATATATATCAAACTTCATTAGCACAGTGCTCTTCATTACAGTTAAATATACAATGAAATACAATGAGTCAATGAATAAAAACATGCAAATATAGAACTAAGACTAAGACACATGAATTACGTCACATATTTTAATATAAGGGTAATTAACATATAGCTTTTCTGAATTGATCAATCAATAATTTTCTTTCACAAATTACACACACGATTCCTCAAAACTATCTATTGACACACATTTTTTCATTTCACAGGGCAAATCATTGAACAATACCAGACCTTTTGTATATAAAGTATCACAGACAATATTTACTGAATTCATATAGAAATCATTCCCTGCTTGTCTTCTGGTATTGTGACAATGTACATACATCCTGAACATTATATAGCTCAATTGAAGAATACAAAGGCAACATGTTATTTTTCAATCTATAAACAAAAACTAGTGTATTATATGAAACTCTTTGCTTGATATTCATTAATTGCATTGTTCTGACTGGTGTGCGTCTTTCACAACCCAAGATACCTCTCATTGCACGATTTTGGACTTTTTGCAGTGTATTAATCTGTTCGTTACTCAAGAAACTCAGTAAAGTACCACAATAATCAATATGAGGTGAAATTATTGACTTGTAAACTGTTAATTTCGTGAAATGAGATACTTCATCACCAAGCCTGTAAATGAAACCTATTTTTCGCGCAATTTTCTTTTTAATGTATTCACAATGACTGTCAAAATTCAATTGATTAACAATGATTACTCCCAAATACTTGAACACTCTCACTTCTTCAATGATTTCTCCGTTTATCAGAATATTGAATTTTATTTTATTTTCCTGGATCATTTTTGGATTCGCTTTCGAAGATATAATCATGAATTCCGTCTATGTAACATTAATTTTGAGTCCATTGTCACAGATCCAGGTGAATTTATTCTCAAGATCTTCATTCAAGAATTTCTCCACATCCTCTTTTTGCCACAGAAGTAAAGTAAGGTAATTCTTGAACAAGATATAGGAAAGCCGATTTCAGTGCCCCAGGAATAATTTTTATCAAGAAATCTATGCTTTGCAGTAATTTTCATGAGAACATACAATTTTTGGAAGAAAAAATATTTGTACCCACTTTTCATAAATGCCTATTTTCGACAAACACCTTGTAACTCAGAATCGACCCTCAGGCACCGATATCCGTTTTTTTTTATCTATCATATTTTGGTTAAGACTACCGAATTCTCGGTTGCTATTGAATCAGATTCTGCCTAACTGTTCTCGTTCATGAGATACGGGGTGATTTTGTAAATCCGTACTTTTTGGATATTCACGTTGTTATGCATAATAATATTGAGCAAAGCACTATGTCTTGAAGATAATTTTGCGTTCAATCCCGTGGCGTACCCAAAATATTTTTTTTCGGGGTCTGACTTCAGAGATACGACACAATAAACTAATATATTCTTCAACGGAACACCCTGAATTTCATTATTTCGTGGATTTCACTATCTTTCCCCCATTAACATAACGGTTTCCACAAAAGCCTGCAGCACAATTAATCATTACAGAATTACGTCGTTTGACTGGTTGCTGAGAGGCAAACGTTGTATCTTGTCAAGATTTGTCATATGAAACCAGAATTAGTGGGATGATTTTCCTTGGAATCCGAGTTGGAACCAGGAAGAATTTCATAATTTTGTTTGGTGAAACTGTTATTATATTGTGGATGTGGCAGGGACGGCCAGAGCAATGCTCATCAAAGGTAACCTAACAGATAGTTTGTGTGCCCCTCAAGAAACCATGTCAAAATCACGTGTTCTAGAATGATCAATTGTTCAGTCGGCACGCCCTGCATTTTCGGGACTACAAGTAACGTCAGCTGACATATACCACAATTGAAGGGTACACGGAAAAAAACAGACATGTCAATTTTACCTGTATATTCAGGTATAGGTGGCATTGAATTCTCTATTTGAAGACGCATATTTTGCGACACTGAAACTGGGAAAAAAACCAGCATAGTGTTGTACTGAAGGACGTCTAAAATGTACCGTACAGGGAAAAAACCAGCTTTGTCCGTGCGTCCTTCTAAAAACCAGCGATGTCACTTAAACTTTTCACGTCTTATTTTGCGAAAATCTGGCCCATCACTAACGAGTAAGTTAATAGTTATTTAACCAACTAGTTTATTAATGAGGGCGATTAATGATCGAGATATTTTAACGTGCGAGCGAAGCGAGCGCGTTAATGTTCGAGATCATTATTCGCCTTTTAATATACAAGTTGGTTACAAAATTTTTCCGTCGACTATATTACTCATTTCTCCTGCAATGAAGAAAACTTGGTTCGCGAATTCATCATTCATCTGGAAACTGCTAAGAATCACCCAGTAGCCTTGTCACTGACATTAGTGACATTTGACATTTGTCGAAATGATCAACATAGAAAATAAATTCCTTGTGTTAGAAAACAGGGATTAAAATCGTGATGTCAGAAACTTGGAAAGGCGAACCCGTTAACAGAAAATCTTCGATGAAATCCATATTTTCGATTTAAATGCAGATTCCGTAAGTCATAAAGCATAAACAATGAAAGCACGCGGTGTATGTTTGGTTGCCTATAAAACAATCGTGTATTAATAGAAAAATCGTTCATTAATAGGGGTCATTAATGAACGATTTCATGTACATTAAACTTAGTCGTTAATACGAGGTCGACGGAAAAAGTAATTATATACTTGTATAGAAACAATTCCAAATCGAAAAAATAGGTAAAATAATACAAAAACAGTATTGTTTCTGGTGTAGAGATAAATGTGACATACATGGTTTTTGTTTGTTTCAGATGACATAACTGGTTTCTTCACTGCAAAACATGGAGTGATTGCGATTTTCTGTATCATTCAAGACATAGAATTAATTTTACTATGAAAATTATATTTTAAATAGTTCTTCATGATGTAAGCTTCAGTTCAATGTGAACAGCTTGCTTTATATTTACTCAGAATAAAAATATTCCGTTTTGAACATAAAAAATCAATTTACTCAATTTGGATATGAAGTGACATATCTGCTATTTTTCGTGTACCTTTCAATTGAGCTGCTGGCTTCTGTTTGTTGACTCCGTCGATTTGTGGTTTTGTCTTCCACCAAGTGTTGCCTTTGCACACTTTTTTTATTGTACTCATGAGGCCCGAAAGCCCGAAAGACGTGCGGTTACCCCTATATGAGGGCTATGTCCAATAATTTTTTCATTGTTTGCTCAGAACACTTTCCTCACTAATCCTCTTATGGAAATGCATATAATTGATTCAATAGTGGAATTATATCGTCTTTCTCAATATGTCGCACAATTATTGTAACGGATATATATTTCATTAATTTTAGGAGAATCTGCTTAATTTGAGGACGAAGAGACCAACATAATTTGATTTATCTGATCTCAGACATTGGTGAATTTGTAGGTGTAGTGCAATGATCATAGGAAGAATGTGCAGACAAGCTGACTCTTATAATTCGAGGAACATAATATCGGCTCGAGTTTCTATAACCTGTTATCGTTACGGCCTAATTAAATTCATCAATTTGCAGGGTGTTTCAAGAAGAGGTGACCCATTTTACGGTATAGGTTGAACACCGCAAAATGAGTTGTTATTTTTATTTTTCATCGCTTGGTGCGCACTAAAGTGAATTCCTATGTTGTTCGAAGAACATTGTACGTCCCTATAGGGAGGGAGGGTAGGGAGAGGAGTTGAGTGTTTGAATTTTCTTGAACTTTTGGAGAATATAAGTTCTTGGAAATACTTCCTCTCTCAGTAACAAAAAGTGGTAACAGCATCCGTTTACAAGACACAAGGTGTTGAAAAATATCTTTAACACATAATTTACGATAATGTCGAAATTACTGACAACATTGTGCTGAAATTTTGTATGGGTATGATCTGGAAGCTGGCACATCGCATGAATTTATTTTCATATCTGACTCTCATAGAGGTCGCTAGATACACGGTGAATCAAGGTTTGTACAATTGATGATTATTTGTAGAGGAAGGTAGCTACGATCAGCAAAACGCGGTGAGAAGGAGTGATAATTGAACGTCATTCAATTCAACATCAAAACGGTAATCTCGATAAAACCCAATACTGTTGTACGGTTTTCGGAACATTTCGATTCGAAAATGATGGAATGATAGCTGATGCTGGTATGAAATGAGTATAATTGAGATCAATCACGCTTGTTTTTTATATTATTCAAAAATAATAACATCATCCTTATGCTGAATGAATTGGGTCAGAAAAAAAAGTAACGAGAAGCGGAAACTGAGATACATTGGACTAAAAATATAAAATATTGAATCAGTTATGAACTTGATTTTTCAAGATGTGCTCCGTTTCCACGTGTACACGATTTTATCTGCCTTTCATAATAATGCATTATTCTTCTAGACGGTTGATGATCAGCTCAATCAGCTGTTAGGTTATGTTCAATTTTGTCTTGCATCTCTTGAAGTGCATTCACATCTGTAGCATAGACTTACTTGTTCCATGAAGATAAAAATGAAACTGTGATATCCATGTTCTCAATCAAACTTATCTCAATAATATTCATGCATGGTTCATTGTTCGATTAACGAGTTCAGCATTAGAAATATATTTGTATTTCCGATTCTCATTAAATAGTTGACAGTTTCAATTCATCATTTTCAAATCAAAATTTTCTGAGAACGGTACACATCAGTACCGAGTTTCACTAATAGCACCTTCTTGATGTTTAATCGAATGTTGTTCAAGTACACAATGGGTTTGTATTGAAAAATCTAACCTCAAAAAAGTCATGTTTGAAATTAGTCGGTACGAACCTTGTGTAACATTTTTTTTTCAACACCATGTATTTCGAGGAAAGATGTCATCACGACATTATTTTACAGAGGAAACCCAACTTGTTTTGTAGTGTTCTACCTACCCTAGTCAATTTATTTTAAACACCCGCGTAGGACCAGATCTCATTCAATCGCTTTCCTCGGGAATTCTAGAGTTATTGAAACATATTATTGAAGCATTTTTCATGATATATGTACTGCATGATCATAACAGAGTCAGAATCTTATCGCAGCAAATCTAAAAATGTTACTTACGTCCTATGAAATTCGGCTATTTCTTTGAGGTTTCCGAAGATGACATCGAAGTTGTCCTTGACAATTTTTGGTACTTTTCCAGATTCTGAAGGGATAAGATAGCGTTCTACGACATGATCCAGGTCTCGTACAAATTCTTGTTCGGTCTCGATGAGCTCTTTCACAACAGCCCTGATAATTGAAATATTTAATGATATTATATGATGATGATAATATTGAATGAATTCAATTAGCGTTGATACAATAATCAATATGAGTTATTGTTATGCATTTACCGCTTATTAAATAGGCGTGAATTCATGACAGCATATGCCTAAGACATGATGGAATGATTTTCAATACAACTTGTGGAGAAAAAGTGAACTCTCATCAAAAATAATGAATATAATAATATTTGTGTGAAGTTTCGAAAAGATCGCAATTTGAAATTCAAGTCATAATAGCTTGAATCCAAATTTGAAGATTATGTCTCAAGAATATAAAATGATAACTCTGCCATAGTAGTTTTCTACGAGGTTTTCTATTCACATCCTAAATTCAAACGAATTGAAAAAATTACTTCTGGTGAAATATTATTTTTTTCGGACTTGTTACACTAGGGATCTCAGTTATATAATTGATAATATGAAGCTATCTGTGATCAAAAATCATCATTATCATCAGAGGAGTGAATTCAATAATAACAATCACTATAGAAGCAATGATATAATAACATATAGTACCTAATATGAGTTCGTTTTGAATGTTGAAATTGATGATTTCGAGTTATGCAATTTAACAACTCTGAATCACTGATAATATTCTAGTTCGGAGTTCGAATCATTACAGTATAGAATTATATGGAAATTGAGTTTCCTCCAATTCAATATAGCTTGCTATATAGCTGCTATATAGAGTAACTAGCACCATCTCTTGTTCAGTACTAAAACTTTCAGTTGTTGCGGTAGGTGTAGCACGTGAAAGAATGATAAACCAGATATCGTATACAACTTGAAATGGTTATCGAGTTGTTACACTATTGAACTCGGGTATCGATGTATTTATCGTTAAAAACATAATCTTCGATGTATTCACCCCCGATTAAACAACTCCTGTGCCTGAAACACCAGGTGACGATGACGTCGGTCATTTTGACATCGATGAAAAAGAAAGCAACTTTTTTTATCGCTCTAAAACTGCCTGTTCCTTTCATCTAGAGTAGTTATGCTCCTGATGTCACTTCAATTTCTGTCGTGTCAAGTATGATTGTTGAATGCGGAAATTAGCAGAATGAGATAAAAAAAGTTCTAGTGTTTCAACTATTAACGAAACAGAACCTAACATTCGAAATATGAACGAATCTTGATGGCGTTCATGTACATTTTTCTCAACAATATACTATTGTAGTTGGAGATTCTGAATGTTACAAAGTAGGTACTAACAACTGTGCTTTCTAAATTTGAATATGAGGTATTTCTCCTACTCACAGTCTTCTGAATTCTGCATCTCCTGGAAGGCCAGTAGTATTGAAAGTTGGATCGTCCGCAGTCTGCAGAATTCTGCATGGAACCCATCCTTGCTTATCTCCTTTCACTTGTTTCACTAGCCATCTGAAAATGGTCGAATTGAAAATGACAGTTGATGGATCATGTATACCAGATAGTTTTGAGGAATTGAGAAAAAAAGAGTACTGACTTTTATACACTACACTGTTTTACCACTAACCAAACCGATTTTTTAACGCCTCGACACGTGTCAAGGTTCCAGTCTTCGATATAACTGACTTTTATATCAAAAGTCATGAGACTTTGTATATTTTTTCTAATGAATGAGAACTTTCACGATAGCGATTCTGATGATACCTATCATACCACGAGATTTAACATTTCCAACATTAATTTTTTTCAGTGGAAACATCGAAACTCTGGCCCTCCTGCATCAGATATTTATGAACTGTTAGTGAAATCTCACAATGAAAACTGATGAATTTTTTCAGAAAAATATGTTTGGAAGATCATTTCGGCCTACTTTACATTGAGAAATAACGTGAACAGATCAGGGGGGGCTAGACTTTTTATCATGATGTTTAGCCCATGGAAGTCAGAGCAAAATCGAAAGTAGTCACTGGGCTACTACTGATATTGAACATTACATCGACACTTTGGTCATTTTATGGGGATTCAAGAATTGTTCGACACCAAGGCACAATTTATCTCAAAGAATAGATAATACTATTTATGTTCTGATTATATGATTCGGATAGTGATCTCCTTTGCGCATAATACAAATAACAAGAGTATAATTTGAATTTCTGCACCAGCAACTCAAACATTATAGGGATTTCTATTCGTACGCACCAAGAAATAAATAGTATTGAACACTATGCAAAGACGGTTCTCCAATGATAAAGTGTTTACAGAGTTCTGCTGGATATTCATTCTCACTAGATTATCTAGGATTTGTCCTCCTTGTTTCTATCAATATAAAAAAATGAGTACCTATCAGTTCAATAAGTACAAATCAGATGATTCCTTCTAAAATGTCAATTCGTTCGAACATGTTACTGAGAAACCATGAAAGTAACATTCATTTGCCGCTTTGTATTGAGAAGTGTTTGAAGACGAGGAATATAAATACAGGTAGTTGATTCTGAAAAATGTATTTGGAGAGATTTTTGGTATATCTCTCTCTCCAACAAATTTCAGGATCCTAACCTAATTTTGTAAGATACGGGGATGTTTTCAGAACTGGAGAATTTTAGGATAAATATGGATAGTCAGTGTAGTGGGCGTCCTGATTACGAATTCGAAGTGATTTTTAGCCTATTTTGACTCCTGATATCATTTTCCAGGAATTGGGGTGATCCCATGGCTGTTGGCAAACAGTGTATATCTCTTGCTCCAGAAAATTTCAGGAACCTTACTGAAAACGATTACGTAATATACTGAGGTGTTTGCATTAGAAGTGAGGAACACTGGCGAATGTGCTCCCGTTCTCAGCATAAAAATGGCGAAACCGTTGAAAAGGGATATTCTCAAAAAAGTCGAGTATATCAGATTTAGATCAGGAGGGGTGAAAGAACTTACAGTCACAACTCACAACTCACAACTCCACCATAAAAACAATTCAATAATGATCAACGGTCATGAACATGAGGATATATTTCGAAGGATTGATCCATCATCATCAGCAAATTCATAAAAAAATAATCTGTAAGAAGAAACAACGCTTAGGTTAGTTTTTAAGTATTGATTGAAAATCTAGATGTACCTACCATTATTGGTGGAAGAAGATTACTCAAATAACGGGGAAAGTAGTTTGATATGAAGGAAATATGGAATATGTTCGCTCCATATCAGATTAGTTTCGAAAACTGAGCTCTTATAGAGCTGTGATAATGTCTGTTCCCTAACATTTACTCACCCGCACTATACGCGGTTAAGAATAGTGTTTTTCCCTTCATCAATCTTCTGGTAGGTACATCTAGATTTTCAATCAATACTCAAAAACTAACATAAGCGTTTTTTTCATTTACAGATTTTCTTTTCATAAATTTGCTGATGAATAAGGATTAATCCTTCGAAACATGTCCTTATATCCATGACCGTTGGTAATTATCAAATTGTTCATGTGGTGGAGTTGTGACTGAAAGTTCTTCCACCCCTCCTGATTCATATCACCTCCACTGTGAGTGGTACGTTGGTTATATTAGATTTGTTCGCGTTCTTGAAATTAACAGTCCAAAACCATCAGAAGCATGCGCAGTGACAATAAATTGTTCGCGTTTACTCTGAACTGTTTTGTATTTCACAGATCACGTATTCTTGTTTTATACGAACTAGTTTGGGATAGTTTCGAATCGGTCCAAACCAGTAGGAGCCTTTGGGTAGAAACTGCCTATGACTGTCGTGGATAATTTTGGATGCAACAGATATTTAACCTTCAAGCGTTCTCAAGTTGAGAGATAGGTACAATTTTGAAAAAGATGAAGAATGGAATCATTGAAGAAAAAATCAATCAAAACTATTGACATTGGACATATGAGCTTCAACTCATCGTCCTATCTTCGAGTTCAGATGATAACAAACGTTTTTAAACATGAGACCACCCATGAGGTTTAACCATGGCTTGTTTTGTTCTCAGTGAGTGTTCGCCAATAGCCCTATCGTCCCACATTTGTAATATGAATATAACAATAAATCAAAATCCTCAACAAGATGAAATATGAATATAACAATAAACTTGATGAAAATTCTAAACAAAATGGAATAAAAATAAAACATTGAACTTAATGAGAATTTCCAGTAGAATAAGAAATTTCGAAATATGTATGTAACAACAAATAACATCGGACTCATTGAAAATTCTCAGCAAATGATTGGTATCTTCTGAAAGGGTTTTTTCGTGAAATTAGAAATAGGTACATGTCCACAATTTCACTACACATGCACATCGCTTTCCTAAACTTCACACTTTGGTCATGATACTCACAATATGATTTACAATACATCACTCATTAGTTTCATAACTGTTATGCACAAATACTGGATGATATATCACTAGTCACTATCGGACTCTTCAGGACTTCAACCTAATGATCACTGGCTTGATACGTGGTAAGATACAATATTCATTTTCTTTTTTGGTTACATGAGGTACACAATTCCTCCATATGTCACTCTCGTTTATCTCATTAACGACTGTCCTGATGGTGGTTAAAACTGACTCGCTAAATTGCAGTGATTGGTTATTTCCAAGTACTTTGCTTTTAAAAGCAGAAAAGACCATCTCAATGGGGTTAAAAACACAGTATGGCCGTGTGCTCCAAAAAGTTCATCAACTACATAATTATTCCTTCGGTAATTTTTTTTCTCCTGATCATTTCCAGTAATTCTTTCTTCAGTTTCTTAGGAGATTTTTTTATGCCTTTTTCTCGTGTTGGGGCTCGGTATCTTCGTTTGTTGACGTGAATGGTATGACGCATCATTATCCATAACGATGACTGAATTCCCTGGAATATTTGGTATAAGCTGCTGCTCTGCCCATTTCTCAAATAATTCTGCCGTCATATCCTCGTGGTAATCGGCAGAGGATTGCTTGATATTTTTGGCAGACAACAACAATGCATTGTCAACAAATTCATTTCCATTGCCGGTGTGAAGGATTATAATTATTTTGCCTCTCGAAGTTTGAGTACTCAAATAACAGTTTTTGTTATATTCTATCCAACCGTATTGAACAACGTCATGAGTGTCGAACCACGTTTCATCTATACCTTTTCAACTTCAATTTCGGAATCGGTGAGTTATATTTCGGAAAAAGTAATCTCGATTTCAGAATTGGTTAGTTCGATTTCAGAAATGGTAAACTCAATTTCAGAATTGGTGAGATGAATTTCAGAAAAAGTTCATTCAATTTCAGAAAGGGTAAGTGAGATTTCAGAATTATTATTGGTAGGTTCAATTTCAGAACATGAAATCCTTTTATATGTTTGGAATGTTTTTAATTGCAAAAGAGAACATATAGGGGTGCCTTCAAGTCAGAAGTGAAGAGCTTCTTGCAAGAGCATCGCCAAAGGGTCATAGCTGGAGATCCGAACAGATTGCTCAACCAGATAGAATTCAGACTGCGATGACTTGAAGAATGTGCAGATCATTCAATGAAAATGATAACACTTCAAATGTGTTTGCATTCTTATAATCATGTGCAACGCCACTATCTTCCAGCGATTCAGATGGAAGGCATCTGTGGATTGAATTGTTTTTGAAAATTTGAATATTGCGAATATGGTTTGTTAATTTCACATGCAATTGGAAACATTTCGAACAAATATAAGGATTTTTTTCATGATATTGAACCTACCAATTCTGAAATACAACTTACCATTTCTGAAATTGAACGGACTTTTTCTGAAATTCATCTCACCGATTCTGAAATTGATTTTACCATTTCTGAAATAGAACTAACCAATTCTGAAATCGCGATTACTTTTTCCGGAATATAACTTACCGATTCCGAAATTGAAGTTGAAGAGGTATAGATAAATTATAGGCCTATTCGCTTCACGGTATTCCTTTATTTTACGTAGATATTCTTGTCGATGGTCTACGATGCGTCTTGATTCTATATTCACCATCCTTTCGTCTGATTTTTTCATAGCTGAACCCGCAATCTAGTAAAATATTTCGCAACGTACTTAACGATTTATAATATTCATGATCCGCGTATTCATTCAACTTATCCCTGATATCTGGCAATGTTGGCACCTCATTCGCTTTATAAACTTTATATTCAATTCGACGAATTACTTCTTTCGAAGCATCATCAAGCTCCTTTAGTTTTTGTCCTTGAGACGCGAATAGATATGCAAACTCACCCTTTGCGTATGAACGTGTAAGTCTTCATTGGCAAACTACACTTGCTCTTCCTCCGAATCACTATCACTCAGTTCGTTGACTTCTCCAAAAGGACTCCAGAACGCCATATTTCAATTGCGAACCGAAACACAAAACCACTATGATTGAAATAATACATTTTGCGAATTTCGAGTTGAACATGAAGACGACCTAGCTACGTCGCATGACCGTACCGTACCGCACTGCCTAGCGCAGGAAGATTCTTATCACACAGAAGGCCGCCCATTCAACTCTAACCAATGAACATTCAGTATAGTTTGGAGTAACCAATGAGACGCGGTCTCTAGCATGACAACGCTTGTCCAGTCCACGTTGACTTCACCAGACTGCATACCTGGAAAGCTCAATAGAAAATATCTCATTCATTCCCATTCCAATGTTGAGCGAATCGACAAATCCTCGTATCGTCCTTTGACGTTTTTCAACTGACAGGTTTTGAATTTTGATTTGATAACATCAAAACATAACCCTAACCTAGATATGCCCTCGATTTACGTGAGTCAAGACACAGCACATTTTCGAGAAAGTAGTTGGTTTATATGGTTTCAAAACTATCTCAAAATTGTTTCGGTTTGAAATTTGATGCGCATCTGATTCTGCGCAGTCCAAGGACCGTTACGACAATTTGAAACACGAACAAACATATTATGAACAAGAAAAAACACCCTACCTGTTCTGGTGGAATTGGCACCCTACGGAGTCAGAAAACCAAGAAACACAACAGATGAAGAAGAGAAAGAACAAGAAAAAATATAACAAAGGAAAGCCCATCAGGCAGCATTCATTTCTCGGGCCAAAGGCCCTCGAGTGAATGTTACTCAAGTTTGCTTTAGCAATAGTGCCAACCAGTGGCGGCTCGTCAGAGGAGGCAACGGAGGCTGAGCCTCCTCAGAAATTCTCCTTAAACTGATATTATCTATACTTTCTCATTGAAAAAACACCAAAATACATGGATTTTGATTTTATTTCCTGTCTTTAGGTAAATATTTTCAGATTAGCAACAGTGCTTGCCCACACATCACACGTTGAAGTCTGCAAATCACGCGTAAAATATTCAACTTGGCAACATCTATAGGAGGCTAGACTCCTTCACATTGCGCACCCCTAGCGCGCAATTCAAATGCCCGAATACGCCCGAATAACACGTGTTTGTCGTGGTCGTGTCTCGTCGCGAATTGCGGACAATCGCGAATGCATTGGTTAGGTTAGGTTAGGTTAGGTTAGGTTAGGTTAGGTTAGGTTAGGTTAGGTTAGGTTAGGTTAGGTTAGGTTAGGTTAAGTTAGGTTAGGTTAGGTTAAGTTAGGTTAGATAAGGTTAGGTTAGGTTAGGTTAGGTTAGGTTAGGTTAGGTTAGGTTAGGTGAATATTTTTAAATTGGCAACAGTGCTTGCCCACGCATCACACGTTGAAGTCTGCAAATCACGCGTAAAATATTCAACATGACAACATCTTTGGATTTATGCCACCCGCCGACTTCAATGTGAAAATAGGAAATGAGATACTACCATCAAACGATAAAGTTAAAAATCTAGGCATTATAATTGATAACAAATTGAAATTCAGTCATCATGTATCTTATATTCTTCAAAAATCCAATGCCAGATTAAAACTTTTATATCTCAACCGACACTTGCTCACTGTCAAACTGAAAACACAGTTATGCGAATCACTTGTACTCGTTTATGCAAATTACTGTGATTACATTTATGGACCTTGCTTGAATGGAATTGACATCAAAAGATTACAGAAATTACAAAACTCGTGTTTGAGGTTGATATATGGTATAAGAAAATTTGAAAGAATCTCACATACTTTACAAGATACTTCTTGGTTGAATATGATCAATAGGAGGAAGTACCACGCCCTGACTTTATTCCATAAAATAATAAAACAGCATATTCCTGCATACTTGAATGCAAAAATAACGTATCGGACAGATATACATAACCTGAATATTCGTCGGAAGAGTCTCCTGACTATTCCGAAACATCGTACCCGACAATATGAGAACTCATTTTCGTACCGCATTGCCAAGGAATACAACGAACTTACAGAAAATATCAAAGTCTTGTCGTTAACCAGTTTCAAGAAACAATTATTTAACTCTATTTTCACTGACCAATGCTCAAATATATGAGTATATATGAGTTTATTAAATAGGTAGTTGACCATATTATGTATCGGTCTTTATTTTTTTATTTTTTTTTTGTCAATATTCTAATATTTCTATATATATGTATATATATATCTTTTCAATATTTAGTTGAGCTACAGGCGCTTGAGGAAGACCAGTACCATACTGATCATGTGCCTTTTGACCTTTCCTCATGTTCTTTTTTAATAGTTTATGGACTCTCATTCTGTTTTTTGTTGGAATGGTCAATAAAATTACATATTATTATTATATTATATTATTATTATCTATAGAAGACTAGACTCCTTCACATCGCGCACCCCTAGCGCGCAATGCAAATGCCCGAATTCGCCCGAATATCACGTGTTTGTCGTGGTCGTGCATTGTTCATGTTTATGTTAGGTTAATGGTTAAGAGCTCAATAAATTTTTGAAAAATGGGTGTTTTGAATTGCGATTTAGTGGAATACTTTTTGGTGAACCCATTCAGTGCTTCGTCTTATGGAGATAAATTGATTGTGAAAAACAAACAAAATCGTTCGTTCAATTCTGATAATTATAAGAAATATATATGATTGACGGGATCTGAGGTGAGGAATAAGCTATTTTTTTCGTACTGCGTATTATTTTCAACCGATGAGTCATCATAATGGGGGCGATTAGGATATAATGATTTGAAAAATTTGCCTCGCGGATTGGATAGACACTGCAGATCACAGGAACACATCTCTTCAAGTATTAGGTTCAGGTTAACTGGTAAACAGATTGTCATTGAAGCTATTGATTTGGGTGAGTCGTAAAGAGTTGTTTTTCACAATGAATCTCATATCATTCATTCTCCTCTGTCATGGAAGTCACGAGCCGCCACTAGTGCCGACATGAGTTTGAAACCCTTTCTTACCTTTGATTTATGTTTAACCTAGTTGGGGAATGTCTCGAACTAAGATGGTTGCGTTTTGGTTTGACAGACAGTTTATGGCGAGCAGCAGAGTTATCTAGTAGCTCTCCTGAAACCTTGTCCAGTTCTGGGTCAAGTTTGATTCTCCTGAAAGAAAATACAAGAATTGTTACTACTTCAAACAGGTTCGCAGCATCGTAGTGAACGTCGAAATCATGATTTGCGCTTTCCACTTGTTGAGTTCGAACTGTAACAAATTCGCTCGTTTCAATGCCTGTATAAACAACATGAACAGAATACGGCACTTTCTCAACGACCACTACGATGCTTTGGTCATTCATGGAATCCCTGTGTCTAACTGATATCTGAAAAAGAATGAATAAATGGAATATAGACATGTTCGAATATATTGGAATCAATTGAGTTATACAGTGTCTTTCAAAAGTATGGAAACGGTCTCATATTTCGTTAACAGCTCGGAGAGAATTCATAAGAATCTAAACAGTATAGTTTTGCATGATGCCCGATTCAATGGCGATATTGGTAATTTTGTCAAATCAACAGGTTTTGATATATTGAGGGTGACTCAATTTAATCGAATGGAGCACGCTATTCATTCTCATTGTAATCAATTCAGCGTACACTCCCTATTATGTCTTCAAATTGCATATTTTGAATCAATGTGGTTTTTGTCATATGACAACATGGCAATTTTGTTGAAATATCTACGAACAGTTCAATATTTTCAAAAGGGCTTGGAGAGAATTCATGGTTTCTGAAATATGACAACATTTTATTCTCGTTGAAATTTCTACAGAACGTTCAATGTTTTTGTAATGGTCTGAAGAGGATTCATGGAAATTGATGCAGGATGGTTTTTAGTGACACCCAATTGAATGGTGATATTGGCAGAAACCATCCTGCATCAAATTTTATCAATATTGAAAACATGTAAACTTAGTAGAGTTGTTTAGTGATTCAGTAGATGAAATGACTTGCAATTCTTGCTGTTATTGGCTTATTTTTCAAAACTAGCACAACAGTAGCCATCAACAGTGTATAGAAATCATAACCGGGAAAAAATATTTCCTTTTCTCCTGAGAAAAAAGTGATACATCGAAAATGACATTTCATAACCTGTCGACAGAGATGAAACGTCAAACTTTTTTCACGTCCCAGAAAAAAATCACTTGTTCGAGAGTATTCACTGATAGTCGGAAACTTACAAAAAGAGACTCAAGAATTATTCATGAGCACAGGATATTTCATGATTATACTCTTCATGTCAAATTCTGATCGCTTTATCTCTGGATTTTGAGTAAACATTCACGAGATATTCATCAAGGATTAGTGAAAGAAATCTTACTTAGCTGATGAACTGGAATCTTCTGTGTTTAATAATTCGACTGCATCTCCCACTGCCAGGTCTAGTTCGTCTGGTAAAATTGCTGTATAACTCTGCCATGCCACAAGGATTTCTCCTAGTACCTGCAAACATGGAATGATACTGTTATAGATGAATCACAGAGATTTCTAGCAGTGTAAGCGAAATTATGTGTTTCAGTTTTTATGTTGAAAGTTCTTCCATGAGCTCACGATTTTCAGGATTTTAATGGTTTTGTTCAGGCGATCTTCGGATATTGAATAGAGATATGGACATTTTTTAAAGAAAACATGGAACTACTTTGGAAAAAAAAATAAGGAAAATAATCAAGTTACACTCATGTTGGTTTAGGCATATGAAGGAATCAGGAAATGCTGATCCCTCTTCAAAAGAAGATGGAGAGTCTTCATTCTGCTCGTCCTGAGCATTTCTGTGAGACAAGGAAATATAATCTGATAGTGATCTCAGATAATGAAAAGAGCTGTGATAAAGTAGACCATGAAAAGGTATGTCAATTTCAATTCATGAACTATCTAATGAGTCTTGAATTGCAATCGTTCAACACACTCCAATAATAGAGATGAAACATACTGCACATTCAAATTACTGATCATAAGGGGCAATACCTCACTCGGATATGTATTATCATAGTGCTTGATAGTTTTGGTATAAGAGGTCTGGCATTAAAACTGCTACAAGCATATTCAACAAAAAGAATCCGGAGAGTGAAGATTGAAAATTCGTTGATTGGTCTACTCAAAATGAATAACGGTGTACAACAAGGAACAGTACTGGTTTCTCTACTATTTTCTGTTTATATTGATAGAATTGCAAATCTGAGAAAATTGGAAGGCCACTTAGTATCATATGCCGATGATACGGGTAACGTTCTCAGTGAGAATACGTTAGTCAGGCTGTATAGAAGAGCTGAGAACAGTCTGACCTCTATATATCTATGGCTAAATCACAGTTTGCTCAGGCCAAACTCTCAAAAGAGTAAATTCATAACTCTTAGTCTGAATAGCGTGAATCAACCCAGGAAAAACCATCTCAGCATCAATTTCTTGAGAAATTCTGAATTTTGGTTATCCCGTTATAGTGAAAACCGACAAAATTGAATATTTAGGTATATAATAGTTGACCAATTTCTAAAGTGGGATGAATACGCTACATACATTGTGAAAAACCTCAGGCAACGGATGCACAAATTTGACCTACTAAGAGACATCTTGGACAGAAATATACATGAAAATATATTGTATCATTATCTGAAAGGGACTTATCCATACTGCCCAAAAAATACAGTTACACAGAATAGTCTCATCAAAATATGACAGAAGAGAACCAGACTGCCTTCAACAACCTCACTTCATAAAGAAGCTGATTCATTGAATATTAAAAAAACAACTTTTCATTATTACCATTTCCTACTATACATACACTCAAAAATAGAACCAAAAATCGAGACTGACAAAAAACACCAAATTCGATCTATCACTAAACCTATCCATAGACGTATACCACTGTTTCCGAAAAGCCACGTGCAAAAATGTATTCATTATATTGGCACGAAATTGTATAACTTGATGGCAATCAATGTGGATTAGAAGCAAGTTAATTTTTCTGTTAGCAATAGAAAGACTCGTCAATTCAAACATAATTTTGAAAATGATTGTATAAGGAGTTCTATAATGTTACCCTTTGATCCAGTAGGTTGAGCTCACATACTTTTTCAATGTAAACTCAACATTCCTGTGCTATTTCTTGATTGATACTGGAAAACATAACACAAGCCCATCAGTGCTTAGATGGTTTCCTGTCAATCAGAGGATAGACTATTATCATTATATCAGTTTATTTTTCTTATTGTTATTGAATAAAAATCGTTTTTTTCTCTAGAGGAGATAATGTAATTTATAAGTGTATACATTGAAGCATCTGCAATATATAATATTACGTTATATTTGATTTTTTGCATCTGTATATCTACAATCCATTATTCAGTTATGTATTAATGAAAGATAAAATCCGGTGTATTGAATTCTCCATTCCTTGAAGATTGAAATAAAGAATGGTACATTTAGTATATTTCTGAGCCGTTAACAAGGCACATTCAATTTAATATATCCAATTCTATTATTGAATCACTCATGTCACTTGTGCCAAATGAAGAACACGAGTGACCTGATCTGACTCTACCAAAATCGTGATCTCTGGGGAATCCATTCATTCAACATAATAATTCTGATTTGCATCTACTATTTCGAAGCAACCAAGCATACTAGTCTAGACATGTATACAAAAACCTCGACAAAAACATACTGGTTTTCGCAATTGAAAGATCATCACTATTTGTTTCGCCTTTTTTCTCAATTCTTTCGATATGTTTCGCTTCTGCTCGTATATGTGTTGAATGTAACTGTAGTGGTGTTGTTGTTGTGATCTGTAAGTTCATCAAGAATGGTTTGATATCATTTAATTGTAGACAACGAGACTGAATCACATATACTCACATTTGATTTTGTTATGTCCTTAGATGCCATCACTCATCATCAAAATCTGAAAATAGTTATTCATACAACAACAATTTTTTATCCTGGGCTCTATCCGAAGAGTATGAGGACCCGTGGTAATAACATTCCTCATTACCAAGGTATATATTATTCTCTTTTTCACCACTAGCAATATATTTCAATAACTTATTATACAGTGTGTCCCACTTACCATGCTCACCATGGGTATCTTTTAAATGGTGAGAGATACGAGGTCGGTTAAATGACACCAAATGTGGAGTTTGTCAAGGCCAACTATAATATGAAAAAAAAATTTGATAAAATCTATTCGTTTTTGTTTTATACGCAAAAAACAGATTTTGATCATTTTCATGTCTCCTCCGTAACTTCTTCATTTATGAAAATATTCGAATAGGAATTTCACATTCTCATGGCAGTTTTTAAGAGTTATTTCGAAAAAAATATGAAATTTATACCAACTCTTCTAGAATTTGAGATATCAGCACCAACTCCAGTTTTTCAAATGTAGGTCATAGCTCACTATGACTTATTTACAAATAATTTTTTTTTTCTCTTCCAGATGATATGTTGCAGTAATAGTTTTGTGTTGATAACAACGGAGTAATCGTCATTTATACAAGAACAAAATATTATTTGGAAGCCGCCATCTTGAATTCATGAATTTCAACAAAAAAATCATGATCTTCGACCTCAAAAACCCCCACTTACCAATTTTGAATGGAATCGGACCAAATCTTGTCCGCCATCTTGGAGCAGCCATTTTTTTAATTTCAACAAAAATTCCATAATGTATTGTCAATTTCCAAGTCAATCGGAGTTATGAAATTATTGTTGAAATTGCAAAAAATGGCTGCTCCAAGACAAGATTTGGTCCAATTCCATTCAAAATTGGTAAGTAGGGGTTTTTGAGGTCGGAGATCATGATTTTTTTGTTAGAATTCATATAGGTATTCAAGATGGCGGCTTCCAAATAATTTTTTGTTCTTGTTTAAATGACGATAACTCCGTTAGTATCAACACAAAACTATTACTGCGACATATCATCTGGAAGAGAAAAAAAGTTATTCGTAACTAAGTCATAGTGAGCTATGACCTACATTTGAAAAACTAAAGTTGGTCCTGATATCTCAAATTCTAGAAGAGTTGGTATAAATTTCATATTTTTTCTGAAATCACTTTGAAAAACTGCCATGAGAATGTGAAATTCCTATTTGAATATTTTCATAAATAAAGAAGTTACGGAGGAGACATGGAAATGATCAAAATCTGTTTTTTGCGTATAAAACAAAAACGAATAGATTTCATCAGAATATTTTTTCACATTATAGTTGGCCCTGACAAACTCCACATTTGGTGTCATTTAACCGACCTCGTATCTCTCACCGTTAAAAAGATACCCATGTTGAGCGTGGTAAGTGGGACACACTGTATAGTTAAGGAAACTGAATCTATATACACTCGTCTCCAGCGAACATGTCGCGGTTGGATGGTATGAGCGCTCTTCTTGCAGCGGTAATCAAGGGAGCTGACACCGTCCATGTGCGACATGATCTCTGAAGACCAGTGTACATTCCTATTGTCATTATTCCTAATTCTAATCGAAATCTAGTAGCCATGGCTATAACAGCATATTATGACAAGTCGTTATTGATACATACTTCTTAGATTCGAGTGCCGTTCCTGCGAATCTCGCATCAGAACAGTGTATTTGAGTTGATTATAACAGAGATGATTATGCCTCTCAGAAGTTCCAAAAATGATAGGCAACTTTGGTGAAAGAAATACTTCACGCCTCGAAAAGGTGTAAATAATGGTAGGTTTTATAGCTAGTGGTGAAAAAATAGTAGAAGTCATCTGTTATTGACAAATTGATATTCATCATAAAGGAGGTAGAAAAAAAAAATGAATTGAGCAAACCTGATCTCGAATCTGCGATTGAAGGTTTATTAAAATAACAAGTTTCTATCGTTCAAGTTTGAACCACTTGATTGGGTGAAAGTATTTAGAAGGAATTTTCTCATATGAACTATGAATATAGAGAATGGATATATATAAAGAAATACATTGAGTATTCGTATTCTCTAAGTAGTCTGAGTAATGATAATATCAATGCTTTCTCGGTTTATTCAACAGAAAACAACTACTTTCTTGGGTATATGCCACGACGAATTGAATTATATACACACGCGATTAGGATTTATAAACAAAAATCTTCTGAAGTTGAGAATTTGCATTCTCCTTCAGATGAAACTAGGTATGTGCACATTATATCATTCTGAATATTCAACAGGAAACAACTTCTTTCCTAGCAATTTCCACGGGGAATATTGAATTATAACTGTTGAATATCCAAAAAGAGAGCATGAAAATTAAAAATCCTTTTGGATGTTCAACAGAGAGAATTCAATGTTCGATGGGGCAAATACCCAGGAAAATAGTTGTTTTCTGTTGATTATTCAGAATGATATTATGTGCACATACATATTTTTATCTGAAGGAGAATGCAAATTCCCAATTTCAGAAGATTTCTGTTGTCAAATTCTCATCGTGTGTGTTCAATAGATATAATTCAT